GGAGGAGGAGGAGGAGGAGGAGGAGGAGGAGGAGGAGGAGGAGGAGGAGGAGGAGGAGGAGGAGCAGGAGGCGGAGAGGAGGAGGAGGCGGAGGAGGGAGGCGAGGAGAGGAGGAGGAGGAGGAGGAGGGGAGGAGGAGGAGGAGGAGCAGGAGGAGGAGCAGGAGGAGGAGGAGGCGGAGGAGGAGGAAGCGGAGGAGGAGGAGGAGGAGGAGGAAGAGGAGCAGGAGGAGGAGGAGGAGGAGGAGGAAGCAGAGGGACAAGGGAGACATCGCAGGGGCAGCTGGGGGAGGGCAGCCGCAGAAGCAGCCACGGAAGGGTCGGCCGCACCGCGCGCGCGCGCTGCTTTTTCCGCGCCCCCCCGCCTGGCGCCCAGCACCGCGGGATCCGGCGCGGCCGCGCACGGGGGCACCCGGCCTGCAGCTGCTGGAGCCTGCGGGGGGGGGGGGTTCTGCGGCTGCACCCGGGAGTGGCCCTGTACGCAGGCAGGCGTGAGATCTTCGGTCCTCCATCCTCCTCTTGCTCCTCCTTCCTCCTCCTGCTCGTCCTCGTCCTCCCTCCCTCCCTCCTCCCTCCTCCTCCTGCTCCAACTCCTCCTCCTCCTCCTCCTCCTCCTCCTCCTCCTCCTCCTCCTCCTCCTCCTCCTCCTCCTCCCTCCCTCCCCCTCCCTCCCTCCCTCCCTCCCTCCCTCCCTCCCTCCCTCCCTCCCTCCCTCCCTCCCTCCCTCCTTCCCTCTCTCCTTCCCTCCCTCCCTCCTCCCTGGCGTTGGTTTCTGACACCGGCGATGGTCGGGGTCGTGGCAACCCTGGCGTTGTTTTCTGACAGCGCGTGGATCGCTCCTACCTTGAACGATCGGCGGCATTTCGATCGCCAAATCGTTCCACTTGGCCGGTTCTCGGCCACCGGCGGCGTTCAACCTTGACCGCCCGGGGCGGGGTCGCCGCCGAATGGAGACGACACGAACCTACTAACCCCGTCAGGAGAGGACAGATGACTGAGAAGTCTGCCAATTGCTACGGCGCTCACCCTCCGAGGAGTGAGCGGTCCAGGTCTCCGCGCCGTCGCTCTCAAACAACCGCAGGCTGACTAGCCCAACCGTGCTGAGAGGCACGGCAAGCCCACCACCCGCGCGGCTGGCGTCTCAGCTTATCCCACAAGATTCCTCCCAACTCCTCCTCTTCATCTTCTGAACTTTCAGTCTGCGCACCGTATTCCAGAAGACACGCATAGGTACACGTCGTTCTTTCTAATCGTGCTCATTTCTGATTCTGCTCGTTTCTAGGTGTTCCTGGCCTCCTAGTGGCCAGGAAGAGACCTAGGATAGAACAGTTCGAAACGAAAAGGGTCTGGGCCGCCCCTAACAATCAAAGAACCTTCGAATCATTAGACACGAAGAATGTGTAGGTAACCGCTGCGAGCAGGTCTTCGCGGACCTCGGAAAGCCAGAGTCGATCTACCAGTCGGTCGGCCTCCCCTTGCCGTCGCTCGGACGCCCATCCCCCGTGCATTGTCTGGGCTCGCGCGTGCTTGTTCCTCGTCGGGAACTGGGGCATATACGTTACGAGTGGCGGGCTGTCCTTCAACCCCAGGACTTTCGGAGGGTCGGGGATGACGTCGGGGTGGTCTGGTGTATACTTGTTCCCCTGTTTTCCCGGGGAAGCAGCGAAAAGCGTATACACCAAGATCCCGTATACACCAGGATCCGCTTTCCTGTGCGCGTTTCAGTGCGGGGTCCAGAAGAGCGTCGGTGTATAGAGTTCGGCTCCTTACTCAAGATGATCCAAGATGGTCGAGACTATCTGGACACGTCCCAGCGACGCCAAATTTTCCCCAAATGCTGCCAACATCTATAGAACATGTTGGTCTGCGCACCGCTCGGAGCGCTCCAGGCACCCCGTGCCGATGGCGTCCGACTGGCGATCGACCCACTCGAGCCGATGCATCGGCGATGCGGCGCGATCCTCCGATCCCATCTAATCCGACCCCATCTAGGAGGCCTAGATTCATGCCGAGCCTACAGTTAGGTCGGGCCTGTCCCCCTACAGGGGGATTTTGGACGAAAAATAAAAATAGTCAAAAATACCCTAAAATGGTTAAAACATACTAAAAGATAGTCCCCTACTATTTTTTTGGACAATTTTTGGGTATCCCCCCTCAAGAGGGACAGGCCCGACTGAAGAATCTGCTCAAATCGACCCCCGACCCCTCCCAAGGTCCATCCCGGCGACGAGGGACGCCCAGCATGCCCTGCGCGGAGAGAACCTCGATCCTCGAACCTCGAGCCGCGATTCTCCGACCTGCTCCTCATTTTTTTTTAAACCAAAAAAGGAAAGAACAAACACAATCAATTCCGGTAGCTGTCGTTCCCCGGGGGAGGGGGTTGCGGGTTGGGGCCCCGGGTAACGGCAAAGCTTTTTGGGCGAGGTGAGGCACGTCGGGGCGGGGGTGAGCTGCGATCGCCACACTATGCGCGCGAGGGCCAGCAGAATCCAGGCCCCTCCCAAACCACATCGTCACCGTGACCTGGGGGGGGGGGAAGGAGAGAACGGAGGACTGCGGAGTACTACCTCGGGGTCGAGGGCGCGCGCGAGAGACTTTCACACTGAGTTCGCGCGTGCGTCTTTGAATACTCTGCGCGCTCTGTGGCGTGCTCTGCTCTCCTCCTCCTCCTCCTCCTCCTCCTCCTCCTCGCCCTCCTCCTTCTCCTCCTCGCCCTCCTCCTCCTCCTCCTCCTCCTCCTCCTCCTCCTCCTCCTCCTCCTCCTCCTCCTCCTCCTCCTCCCCCTCCCCCTCCCCCTCCTCCTCCTTCTCCTCCTCCTCCTCCTCTCCTCCTCCTCCTCCTCCTCCTCCTCCTCCTCCTCCTCCTCCCCGTCCTCCTCCTCCCCCTCCCAGAAGAGACCGCTACCTGGGGGGGGGAGGAGGGGGGGGGCCTGGGTAGCGACATTTAAGCGCCAGAAAATAAAACAAGAGTCTTCAGGAGGCCCACAGCGGATGTAACTTCGATTCTCGAGCAACCAGCATCGATTCGCTCGACCTGTTCCTCCACGAGCAGTTCGGGCTCGGGTGGAACCAGCTGGTCAAGCTCTGCGCCTAACATCACATAGCGGGATTTTTTTTCCGTGAGCACGAGCCGCAGCTAGGTGGCCGGTCCCCTGTGTGCAGTCTGACCCCACTTAGGCTTGCGCCCGCCTGCATCGGCCACGCGGCGAAAACAGCTACGCATCGTGCCCCACAACGGCGGAGCAACAAAAACTTGGTGAACGAGCGGGCGAGACTAGGCCATGCTGAAGAGAAACGTGGAGAGCTCAGACTAGAAATAATGCCTCGATCGTTCCACGAACGCACGCCCTGACTCGTGCATCGACCTCGTTGTGCAGAGGCCCCGTGTCAAGCAAAATGCCGTTTGTGGGGACGGGTTACAACCGGAACAAACATAAACACACAAACTGAGCCGAGCAAGAAAGGCGTGGGAGAGTTGACGCAACGAAAGTATACAGTTCAGGCCTAGAGCCCCATAGCGGGTCGTGAACTGCCACGTGCCCACGTGATACGGGGGAGGCATCTTCAATGCACCCAGAAGTGCAAACTACGGAACAACATTGGGCAAGACTCGATGGGGAAAAAGGGTGGGCGGCCGCGCAGACGGAACGGCGCCAGCGATCCGGCGCGGAGGCCGCCCACGGAGGCCGAGCGCCTCACCCCGCCACCATGAGGAGGAGAGCAAGGGAGGAGCGGGAGGGAGGAGGACGGAGGGAGGGAGGGGGGGAGGCTGCACGCGCTCTTGCCGAGCGCTCAGGGCCTCCACGGCCACGGATGAATCTGCCGGGCTGCGATCGACAGCTCGGCACCTCGAGTCCGAGGGGAAAGGCCGAGGCGGAAGGAGGAGGAACACGGGGGGAGGGAGGGGGGGAGGCTGCACGCGCTCTTGCCGAGCGCTCAGGGCCTCCACGGCCACGGATGAATCTGCCGGGCTGCGATCGACAGCTCGGCACCTCGAGTCCGAGGGGAAAGGCCGAGGCGGAAGGAGGAGGAACACGGGGGGAGGGAGGGGGGGAGGCTGCACGCGCTCTTGCCGAGCGCTCAGGGCCTCCACGGCCACGGATGAATCTGCCGGGCTGCGATCGACAGCTCGGCACCTCGAGTCCGAGGGGAAAGGACGAGGCGGAAGGAGGAGGAGGACGGGGGGAGAGAGGGGAGGAGGCTGCAAGCTCCTGCCGAGCGCTCAGGGCCTCCACAGCCACGGATGAATCTGCCGGCTGCGATCGACAGCTCGGCACCTCGAATCCAAGGGGGGAGGACGAGGCGGAAGGAGGAAGAGGAGGAACGGAGGAGGAGGATGCGAGGGAGAGAGAGACTGATACGAAACACCCTAGCAACGTATCAACGAACCCCGCGCGCTGAGCGACGGAGAAAAAAATCGCACCCCAGGCCGGGGAACGCAGCACACTGGCAAAACTACGTAGCTGTAACAACTATGAGAGCGCAACCCCCAAACCCGAACCAGTGATGCGTAGCATAGCGAAGCGGGCACGACGTCGAACCCCCGAGGCGCGAGAGCGGGTCCAACAGCAAGCAGCAACGACGGGAGAGACACAGGAGGGAGCGGGCGCCGTCCCGAGCCGTGGCCATGGTGTCGGGTCCCCAAGCATCCGCGAGCAGGTACCCAGGGTCTCGCCCACCGACCAGCCCGCAGCAAGGCACAGCCCCCGAGGGGGGAGAACGCCGCAGATGACTCCCATAGTCATGGGACATGTCAGCGGCTGCCGTGGAAGGAGCCGGGAGGGCGGGAGGAGCGGAGAGACGAGCGACAACGAGGACACCGACGAGGACGACGGAAGACGACAGCAGGAGGGACCTCGGCCTCGCGAGCCAAAAAATGATAATTCACTACAGGGGGCGAACCGACCCCGAGATTCGCACCAAAACTGCACTTCACGGAGGAGGAGGAGGAGGAGGAGAAGGAGGACGAACAAAATAACGAGAAGCAGAACTGGCGCTGGCACTAAAGAAACTGGCGAATGGTCACCCTCAGCGCGCTCAAGCAGGCAGCCGGGCTGCGGCCTGCGGCGTGCCTGCACCGACAGTGGGTCAGGTGCACGCTGGCCGTCAGAAGCGCCCGGCGCCGCAGCTGGGGAGCCGTCTGCTCGCTGTGAGGGGGCGCCGGGATCAAGGGCCCGGCGAGCCGCGCCTCCCGCGAGGCCAGCAGGGGGAGCCCCAGCAGGTCGGCCGCCGCCGCCGCGACGCAGGGGCAATCGGCGCAGTGCTCCACGGAGTCCTCGCCGTCTGCGCGCCCGAAGCAGCAGCCGGCGCGCTGCTGAAACCGCCGGGCGGTGACCCAGCCGGTCCAAAGCGTCCGCAAGCACGCGGCCAACGCCCGCGGGGGCCCTCGCCTTGCCGCGGCGGGATACGCGCGCAATGCGCGGTTGGTCATCTCTTCCACTGACAGGTTGCAAGACCAGCGCGACAGCCGATGCCGCAAGAAGCGTGCCAGGGACGCGCCCCTGTCGGGTTCGATCGCGCGCGCACGTGCGCTGCCACGCTTTCATCAGGCGCGCGGGGTCGGCCGTGCCCGCTGCCAGTGCCACCTGGCGCGGGCCCAGCGCGCGCTGATGGAAGTAGCTCTGCGCCGCATCAAGCTGCAAGAGGAACGAGCTGTTGAACCAATTGCTCCAGCGCCCCAGGCGCGCAGGCGGGGCCGTGCTGTGCAGCCGCGTCGCGCGCAGCTCCGTTGCTCTGGCGGCCGCGCGCAAGCCGCCCTCCGCCGCCGCCTCAAATTGACACACTCGGTACTTCGCCGCCAGCGCCGCCGCGGGCAGTTCTGGAAGGCGCGCGGGAAAGCCCAGGAGAGGGAGCCCGCGCAGGGCGGCCGCGGGCGCCCACTGGTTGGGCCGGACGTAAAGGTTTGCAGCGCAGCGCTCTCCAGCTGGCCCCAGTTCGACGGCGGCGCGTCCAGCTGCGCGTGGAAGCTCATTGTCGAGAAGGCATACATTGCGATCCAATCGTATTGGCGAACATGCCGCCTCCTGAGCGACCCCACTCGCGTGCCCTCTGGAGGTATTTGGCGCTGGCGGCATCCCAGCCTCGCTCTCCTCTCTGTCCTCAGGAGGAAGCCGAGATGCTTGGCCTTGTGGGCAAACCGCAGCCCGCCCCAAGGCGACGCGCGGGGGGCCACCTCCAGGCGCGCGCCTTCAGGGTCTCCAAACCGAAGCGGGGGCCACGCTGTTTCGCCGAGGTTCGGCGTACTCGTCAAACAAGTGCTCCAGCGTAGCCGCCGCCTTCGCCCCGTCCCTGGTCGCCACCGCCACATCGTCTGCATGCGCTCGACGGACGGCGCCGGGGAGGGCCCGACCGAGACGCCGAAGCAGCAGATCCGCAGCGATCGCATAGAGCAGCGGGGAGAGGGGGCAGCCCTGGCGAACCCGGGCTGTCACTGGGAATCCCTCGTGCTCGTCGCCCCCTATGACCAGCCTGCAGCGGTCGTGAAAGTAGAGCGATTGGAGATATCGCAGCGGGCGCGCCGGGACCCCTGAGTCAGCGAGCACGTCCAACAGGAAGTCCTGGCCCACGCTCGGGAAGGCGGCGGCAAGATCGAAAAATATCGCTGCACCGTCCTCGCAAGTGAGTGCCGTCGCCTGCATCGCTTCATCCACGTCGATTAGATCGGCCAACGTAGAGCGCCCACTCAGAAAGCCTCGTTGCTCTGCTGAGATATCTTCAGCGAACAAGGGCTCGAGGCGGTGTCGAACCGCGCTGGTCAAGTGTCTGTTGTCTGCGTTGACCAGGCTCAGCGGCCGAGCGTCGGCCGGCGCAAGCTGCGGGGTGCCGTCGTCGCTCTCAGAGGTGGGTGTCTTCGGGAGAAACGCCATGAGGCTGTCGTTGTACCCAGGGTAGTCACGCTGGATTGCTTCCTCCGCATCGGGGCTAGACAGCTGCTCTTGCACCGCGAAGAGGACGTTGACTGCGAGGGGGCCGAAGCGTTTCCACGCCGCGAAGGGCAGGCCGTCCGGGCCCGGCGCCGTGGAAGGGGGCCCGCTCGAGGGCAGCTCGCACGTCGCGCGGGCGCAGTTGCCATTTCGGGTCGTCAGCCGCTGGAAGCCGCGAGCCCCCGCGCGCCGCGCGCGCGCGCCGCTCTGCGCCGAGCTGGCGTCTGCGAAGAGACCTGCTGAGCGGCCTCGCCTTGAAGACCTCGCCCCAATGGTCGCGGCGAGCCTGGGCCATGGCAGCGGGCTCGGTGCGGACAGTTCTATATATATATATATATATATATATATATATATATAGATACATACATTTTTTAAATATAAAAAACGCGCCCACATCAGAGCAACATGTGCTTCCGTAAATAACTGGTTGACACGTAATATCCGCCAACGAATGCATTGCGAAATGCCGCAATGGTGTCTCTATTCTACACGCGGAAAACACGGCCAAAAGCTGCGCAGATACACTTAAAAACATCGCGCCATGCACCATGGCGCTATGATGCTTTGCAATTTGGGCATCCTGCGCGCACGATTTGCGGAAGAGTGCGAGACAAACCTGGCGTATCCAGTCCCAGTGCCCGCAGGGTCCATGACTGCCTGGATTGACTGGCGGCGCCCAGGAGCGAGCCTCGATATGAGGCGCCAGTTGCGGCCCCGCCGCGCAGCCGCCTCCCCGGCGTCCAGCGAGGGAAGATCGTCGCTGAAGCGCTGGAGCTCCTCCACCGCACGCTCCCGAGCAAGCTCGACGGCATGGCTGCGCACTGCCTGCAAGCGCCCCGCCTGTTTCAGCTCTGGGGAGTACGGGTTACCCACGAGTTTGGCCAACTCGGGGTACCGCTCAATGCATTTGCTGATGCTCCCCGTATGCCCGCCTTCGACTGCGCTGAGAAACTGCATGGTGAGGCCAACCTTGTCCTCTGTTGCCTCATCGGGGTGTCCTGTTTGCAGCTCGCGCGAAATGCCCTCGGCCACCTGGCGGATGGCATCTTTCAGCAGCGACAGCCTGAGGAAGGGTGCTGCGGTGGACTCGATGGTCTCTAGAGACTCCTTGTGTGCCAACGTGACCCTGTGCAAAAAATCCTCATGCTGGACTGCAGCTGCCGTGACTGGGCGGGATGCCGAATGCACCCTGGAGGGCAACCGGCGGCCTGCCGCGACCGCGTGGTGGTGCGACAGCTCCGGCTGCCATTCCAGCGCCGCTGCAAACAGATCCCAGTCGAGTTGTTCCGACAAGTCTTGATTCCAATAGAGCCGGTCGAGCCGCGATTGCGCACTGCCACTGCGATGTGTCATCGCTGGCTGGTGTAGCTCGTGCAGGTTGAACGGTTGGAGGGCGACCTGCCGCCAATGGCGCTCTTCTTCGTCGCGATCCCTCGCTCCAGAGGCAAAGCCGGTCCTGAGGGCGACGCGGTCGGCATCCTCTGTGACCCAATTGAAGTCTCCTGCGATCACGGTGAGGGCGGCGGTCGCTGGTTGGACTGCGAGGGCAATGCGGCGTCGGAGAGCTGCCCGCTGCTGCGGCAGGGAGCCGCTCTGAGCAGGGGGGTCCACCGCGTCGGCCTCAGGGCCGCTCCCTTGGGGGCGCAGGGCATCCCGTAGGGAAGTAAGCCGCCACGAAGTCCAAATGCCCCTGGGGGCCGCCGAGCCGCAGCACCGCCGAGCGACCAGGGTCGATCTCCACCCAGTCACGCTCAGGGAACTGATTGGCGAACCGCTCCTGGAGCAGCACACCCACCCCTGCCCGCGCCGCCGTGCCATGGGACCACCACCCCAAACGTGCTTGCGGCCCGCGCCATGCTTCCGGAGCGCCTGGGACACCGTGCGTCTCGGTCAGGAGCACGGCGTCGTGGGCCCCGGCGAGGCGCCGGACGTATTGCGTTTTCCGCCGAAGCCTCTTGGGATCTGAGGCAAACAATGCCTGGGCATTCCATGTAGCCACAGAGAGCGAACCTCGGAACTGGCCTCCCACATGCGGCGCAGCTGCTGCCAGCGGCGGCGGCGACGGCATGGGCGGCGGGAGGGGCAGCGCCGGTGCTGTGGCCGCTGGCGCCGTGGGAGGCGAGAAACGCAGCGCTGCTCGCAGTCGCGCCCTGGCGCGGAGCGAGTGCGGTACATCATCAAGAGCCCCATTGCGGAGATCAGCGTCACGACCTGCATCACGAAGGTGTAGAAGAAGAGGAGGGAGAAGAAGTGCTTGAACAAGAACTGCTTGTCTTGGATCGTCATTGCCAGCGTAATCCCTGCCCGTTGAGACGGGCACGATCTCGAAGACAAGATCAATCAGGAGCGACATGCGCCCCAGGCGTGAGAGCGCCTGAATTCCCGCGCTGCCTGCCCCATCCGCGCGGCGTGGCTCCCGAACTACTGCCCAGCGGAGGCGGGCTGTCGGGCCCCCCGCCTCCGCCGCTCGTTTCCCGGCAGGTCCAACAAGTCACTAGCGACCCTCAGCGCGACGAGGTCGGTCCCCACCTGGATGGTCTTCTCGTGAAGGGCGGCGTGGACGGCCTGCACCTCGGCCCCCGATTGCAAGTACAATCGCATCCGCCCAGGCGCTGCCATGGGGTCCGCCGCCGCCGGCCAGTGCCAGCATCCTGGAGCGGAAGGCGCGCCCGTAGAGGATTCTACCAATTGTACGCCTGTCGCGGGGCCCAAGTGCGCCATCAACTGCCGGTGCACATCTCGGGCGTCGTAGCCTGGTGAGCCGCACACGTGGACCTCCGCCACATGGCGTAGCGGCGCCGCCTTGCCCAGGCGGCCCCCCTTGGTGCGGCGAGCAGCCGCCAACTGTGTTGGCGTGGCGGCGGGGGTGGCCCAAGGGCGCCCTCCGTACCGGGAGGGGCGCCACTTCAGGCGCAATATGGCGGCCTGTGCGTCCTGCTGCATCAGGTGCGTCAACTTCGGCAGCCAAACGTCGAGGGGCGCGTCCGTGTGCAGCACGAGCTTGTCGGCGCTCAGGGCCACCGGCTGCGTGCTGAGGTCCAACGCGTGCAGCGCCGCCTCCGCGCTCGCCATCTCACAGAGGAGTGTCTCCCTGTCCGCGTACAGAGCGACCGAGCCGAACATGGTGCCTAGCGGAAGTGAGACGCGACGCAGGTGCCGTCAGAGCAGCTCCAGCTCCCATGGTGTGGCGGCAGGCGGGAACGCCCACTCCATGCACAGCCGCTTCACCGTGGAGGTCGATAGAACGCTGTGGCGTGGCGGGCCAGCGCGGACGTTGGCCAAGCTGGGGTCGGCCAGCAGGCGCAGAATCTCCGGGAGCCTATCCGCGAGGAGCTCCACGATGTACGTCGGAGCCTGCGCCACCTGCAGCAGCGGTGCTGTGCTCGGCAGCAAGCTGGGGGAGGCTCGAAGCCCCTGCGCCGCCGCCGTGAAGACAGCCAAGCCGCGGGACACGTGGCGGGGGCCGTACGGCCCGGGCAGGATCATCTCCAGCGGAGCGGCCGCGTAGTCGATCCGCTTGACGGCTGGTGCCCAATGCTCCCCAAGCAGGGAGTGCCACCAAAGATCTTGGATGGCCTCCACCGACCGGCAGCCTGGGAGAACCGAGATCACATAGCGGGAATATGACATGCAGCAAGGGCGGTAGGTAGAGGCATATGGTGGCACGCCATTGCTATCGTCACCGTGGTCCATCGCATTCTTGCTCCAATTGATCGTGTAGCTTAGGATTCGAGGGGCCCTAGGGCAGAGTCCCAACACGCAACCGCTGGGGACATGTCATACTCACATCTGCGTCTTGCCTCTCATCTGCTTTCTTTTTCTGCCAGTCGTCTGGAGACTCCGAAGAGTGTGGTTTTCAAAGGGTGCGGTTCGCCACCCGCACCCTGGGGGGCCGGCGAGGACTTTGACAGAGTTCTCCGCCGCGACCAGGGGAGGTCCGCCGAGGGCAACCTGGTGCCCCCAAGCCCCAGCGGCGCAGACCGCAAACCACACCCAACCATCACGTGGTGTTGGATCCTCGTCTTGAAGAGACTGCGCCCCGCGTTCCTCCTTCTCCTTCTCCTTCTCCTTCTCCTCCTCCTCCTCCTCCTCCTCCTCCTCCTCCTCCCCCTTTTCCTTTCCTCTGCCCTCCGCATGTCCACCATTTCAGCGCATCCAGTACAGCGTTTCGTGCCTGCCTGGGGAGCTCCACCGAAGGCCCCAGTGGCTGCGATCACATGCGTCCCTGCCACTCGATTCAGCGCACCCAGCACAGCGTTTCGTGGCCCCATCAGGAGCTCCCCCGACGGCCCCAGTGAGGATGTTCCCATGCGTCCCCGCCGCCCATTTCGGCACACCCCTCACACGTTCTGCGGCCCCATAGGGAACTCCACCGAAGGCTCCAATGGCTGTGGTCACATGCGTCCCCGCCACCTATTTCGGCACACCCCTCACACGTTCTGCTGCCCCATGGGGAGCTCCAGCGAAGGCCCAGCGGCTGTGATCACTTGTGTCCCCGCCACCAATTTCGGCGCACCCCTCACACGTTTCGTGGCCCCATAGGGAACTCCACCGAAGGCCCCAGTAACAATGATTACATGCGTCCCCGCCACTTATTTCGGCACACCCCTCACACGTTTCGTGGCACCGTGGGGAGCTCCGCCGGAGGCTCCAGTGGCTGCGATCACATGCGCCCCCGCCACAAATGTCGGCACACACAGTGCAGCGTTTCGTGGCCCCAAAGGGAGCTTCACCGAAGGCCCCAGTGGCTGTGGTCACATGCGCCCCCGTCGCCGATTCTGGCACAACCCTCACACGTTTCGTGGCCCCATAGGGAGCTCCACCGAAGGCCCCACTGGCTGTGATCATGTGCATCCCCGCCACCTATTTCGGCACACCCCTCGTACGTTCTGTGACCCCACAGGGAGCCGAAGGCCCCAGTGCCACCGCCCGCATGCGCCCCGCACACCCATTTCGGCACACCCCTCACACGTTTCGTGGTCCCATAGGGAGCTCCACCGACGGCCCCAGTGCCACCGCCCGCATGCGGGCCCGGTGCCCATGTCGGCACACCCGTCACACGTTCTGCGGCCCCATGGGGAGCTCCACCGATGTCCCCAGTGGCAGTGATCACATGCATCCCCGCCACCGATTTCGGCACACCCCCACACGTTTCCCCATATGGAGCTGCGCCGAAGGCCCCAGTGGCTGTGATCACATGTGTCCCCGCCACACATTTTGGCACACCCCTCACACGTTTCGTGACCCCATACGGAGCTCCCCCGAAGGCCCCCATGGCTGCGATCACATGCGTCCCCGCCACCCATATCGACACACCCCTCACACGTTTCGTGGCCCCGTAGGGAGGTCCACCAATCAAGATACGCACCGCTGCGGTACTCAATATGGTCGGGCCCTCCGCCGGGATAAGTTTCTCGGGGCCAATGGCAGTGAAGAGTTCACAACCAATGACAAGTCCAAAGCCTCAATGTGCACTTTGTCGAAATCGGCTGATCTCGCGTTTAGGCTCCGTGATTCACCACGTAGGCTCAGGGGACAAGGGACAGACTGGGAGGAGGAGAGGGGCAACCGAGCGTGGAGAAATAACCACACGCTCTGCAGGGGCCTGTCCAACATGCATAATCTGTTGGCGAAACTTGCGCATTGACCACACTAGGCAACGATACCGGATTGTAGGTGGGATGGTCATTCTTATCTTCCTTCCGTGTGGGCGCAGAGGCAGGGTACAAAGTAAGCAGAATTGTGCATCATTCACTGTTCTTCCGTAGGCTGTTTGTGCCAAGCCTCAGAGCTGAGAGCTAGCAAAGCCGAGTCCACGTCCCCAACGCGTGGGAGGCAACACGGATAGATCTCAGATCAAATTTGAGTCTGCGAGTCTCAGACCAGAGGCCGGAGGAATAACCCCACCTTCCTCCGTGCTGCCTCTTCGCCATCCTACCATTTCCCACTTCTCCTTTTTCCTCCTCCTCCTGCTCGTCCTCCTTCTCTTGCTCAATCCCATGCTCGTGCTCCTCCTCTTCCTCCTCCCTCCTCTTGCTCCTTCGCCTCCTCGTCCTTCTCTGACTCTCTTCCTCCGCCGCCTCCTCACACCTTGCAATTCCCGACGGTCGCCTGGGGCGACGTCCACCCGAGCCACCCCGGGGGTTGGCGAGGAGAGAGCGGACCGAACGACTGTCGGCGAGGGCGGGAGAACGGAGAGAGACGTGGAAGGGACGGATGCGCGGCCGCCGCCTCGGAGGGGTCAGCGCGCGAGCCGCAGAACGCCTCCGCGGAGGGGGGATCGGCAACGATAGCAACGATAGCGATATAGCAACGACAACGATACCAAAGATAGTGATAACAACGGCAACGATAGCAACAAAAACCGTAGCAACGACAACAACGGAAGGGGGGATAGACAACGATGACAACGATAACGATAACGACGATAACAACGATAACGATAATAACGACAATGATAACAACGATTTCCAATGTGTTCACACGGAAGGTTGGCAACATCCTCGGCGAACCCTCTTATGTTCCGTGTCACGTGGTCTCTCTCCGCCGAGTGCAGCAGGAGAAGACCATTGGTCGTTGGGAAAGGACGATGAGCTCACTGAAAGCCAACACATTCTGAAAGGCAACATGTCCGTGTAAGGCAGGGATGTTTGAGGGCACTGTATCTGCGTTCGCCTTGGAGCAACAACTTTCGCCTTGGACCAACACCAATAAGATGCAAGATGAGCGAGACCCGCAATGGACGGACACTTGCGAAAGGATCCACTCGGCGCTCTGCCACTGAGGGTTGCTCTCCACTTGCTAATGACTGGCCTTGCACCTTACTCGAATGCTACTGGTAGTTGGAGGTGGATGGAGCGTGCATCTTAGCTGGCCAGAGCGTATTGACACGCACCTCACACACATATTTAAAACGTTTGCCCGGCGCGATACATTTGCGAAAAGATAGCACCAACACGTGTTGAACCGACGCGCAACGAGCTTCATCCTCACGCTGTAAACACGGTGCATGTCGCATGTCAGCACGGGCGTATTAGGAAAGCTAGGGCGCGCATGACGAAAAACACACTTGTGAGATTCGGTCTGAAGTGAATTGCCTGCGTTTCAGATGTGATGCACCCACCCTCCATCCCAAACCTCACCATCGACCTCCAGGCCCATCTACGGAACATGCTCATACCATTTTTGCTCACATACCGCTGTAGAAGGCCCGGGGAGGGGGGGGGGCGGAATGGGGAGGGGGTGAGAAAGAAGGACGTGTGTGTGTGCGCGTGTATGTGGATCGA